GTTACAGGAGGACTCCCCTGGGAGAAGGCAGAAATGTGGTGTGCAGCCTTTACCAAAGTCCTTTCTGTAGGAACCCCTTCACAAACCTCAGTTTGGATAATCCTGCTGTAAGAAGCGAAAGGCCATGGGAGGATTTGGAGCCATTTACAGGTTATCAGATTTTCATTTAGAAATTCATTCTGGGTAGCGCCTAGGTGGCTCAGTCGTTAAGTGTCTGCCTTGGGCTCAGGTCATGATCCTGGGATTCTGGGATTGAGCCCTGCATCAGGCTCCCTGCTCCGTGGGGAACCTGCTTTTCCCTCTCCCACTCCTCCTGCTTGTGTTCCCTCTCTCACTGTGTTTCTGTCAAATAAATAAAATCTTAAAAAAAAAAAAAAAAAGGAAATTCATTCTGGGGAATGAAGAGTGCGGGAGGGATGGGAAATGAGAAACAAGGAGGCCAGTCAGAAGGAAGCCTGTTACAGCCATGCAGAGTAGAGAAGACACTCCATAAACCACACAGGAGGGGGGCATGGAAAGGCTCTGGGGATTCAAGAAGCATGGGAAGGTAGAATCAATGGATTGAACTGCCTTTAGAGGGAGGGACACACATCGGCTCCCAGGTTTCTGGCTTTGACCATGTCTGATCACTTGTTGGGTGTTAACTCCTGGTGTTCAGGAGAGGGTTTGTGCAGGGGATATATTTGGAGTCAGGCATGACCGTGTGACGGCAATGAAGTCTCAGGTGGGTGAGCTTATCAACACCAGGTTCAAAGTCCAAGAGGGAGACCAGGACTGTGGACGGAAGCAGGGGAACATCAGTGTTTAGGAATGGGCTGGAAAGAGTAATGGAGGAAGGAAAGAAACAGGAGAGCAGGTGTCCTGGGAGCCAAGGGAGGAGAGTACTTCAAGAAGAGAGCACTTAGTAACCCCCACACATGCAAAATACAACAGCAGAGAGCTGTATTTCCTTGTCACATCAGCAGAAATGTATTGATTCACGTGTTTAACAATAATATATGGTATTGGCAAGGGTGGAAGAAAAAGGGCACCATCCTCATATGATTTGGGTAACAGACAATATGTAGCAAAAACTTTATAAACCAAGTATTCCCTTTGATCCAAATATTCCATCTCTAGAAACTTACCCTAAGGAAATCATCATGGAGGGTGATGAACAAGATTGTTCGTAATAGCATTGCATGTAATATTAAAAATGAAATGTACTATTCAATAACACAGGACTGGTTAAATATATTAGTATAGTCAGATGATAAAAAAAATCATGAAACCGGTAAAATACTACATGTGAAATAAATAATGGCATAGTGAAATATTGCAATAAATTATGAAATCAATAAAGCATGATTCTGTGGGGTTTTTTTGTACTAAAAATATACAGATGTATATAAGAAAAAGACATACCACATATTAAGCAGTATTTCTCTCAGGTTTGGGTGATTTTTGTTCTCCGTTTTACCTCTCTATATTTTCAAAAGATTCCACAATAAGCAAGTTATTTTTTTAGTACTTTGAATAGTGTAATAATAATGTTTTAATAATAACAACTACCATTGTTATGGTAGCTACCATTTACTGACTGCTTGCCATAGGTCAGTCACTGTGCTAAGTGCTCTATCTTCAACCCTACCATCCTGACCCCATTCACAGATGAGCAACAGCCTGAGAGGTTCAGAAACTGCCCCAGGTCAGAGTGCACCAGGCGGCTAGGGCAAGCCCTTGTTTGACACTACTTTCTCCAAGACCTTCCCCACCGTACTTCCCTTCCAGTCCCTGAGTTAGAGGATTCCATTCACATCCCCGCCCCCAAGTCCTAGCTCCTTGTTCTCTGTCCTTCCAGGTGCTTTGCCAGCCCTCAGGTCAGAGCACAGCCTTGGTTCTGCCTTCTGTGAAGACTATGTGCACCTGACTATCACCCCTGTTGGGGGCCTGGGTCACTCGGGGGCAGGGACTGGTCGGCTTCATCTCCGGCTCAGGGCAAGGACCGAGCGGACCATGGTGTTAGCTGTTGAACTGAGTTGTGGGGTGCCATCCTTTGGAATGGCTAAAACCTGATGTTTAGTTTGACAAGAATGGGAGGCCCATTGTTGGAAGAACGCAGCTATCTCTGCTCACCCTAAGTTGAGCTAAATGATTTCTGCTCTGAAGAATCAGGCCCACACTGAGCCGGCTTACAGTCGAGCTGGAAGCCCAGTGTCACACGATAGGCTCCAGATGATGTGCTGCGGACTCCAAGTGGAGTACAGAGGGCTGCCCAGAGAAGGACAGTGAAGAGGGCAGGAGATTCAGAGGCTGTGAACAAGCCTGACACGGGGATGCCCCCTTGACTCTGCCCCCACCTCTGCATGCAGTCACCAAGCCCTGGGGATGCAGCCTCCCCAACTGCTTTCTCCTCCTCCCTCCCCCCATCACCAAAAAGGATCATGGTCATGTCCACACACCCTCATTACTGTACCTGCCTCCAGCTGGGGGCCTGACTCTAACCTTCGTCCCTCTGATCCATGGTCACCCCTGCAGCAGACTCTGTCTTAGGCATGTTCAGTGGCTGAGCTGCAACATCATTTTTTTTTCTTTCCCTTTTTAACATATAATGTATTATTTGTTTCAGGGGTACAGGTCTGTGATACATCAGTCTTACACAATTCACAGCTCTCACCACAACACATACCCTCCTCCATGTCCAAGACCCAGCCAGCCCCCTCTCCAGCAACCTTCAGTTTGTTTCCTGAGATTGAGACTCTCTCATGGTTTGTCTCCCTTTCTGATTTGTCTTGTTTCACTTTTCCCTCCCTTACCTTGTGATCCTCTGTCTTGTTTCTCAAATTCCTCATATCAGTGAGATCATATACTTGTCTTTCTCTGATTGACTTATTTTGCTTACAAACTGCAACATCCTTAACAGGCTTATAAGCAGTGTGGAAATTCGCCCATCGGATAAAAGGCAGACTAAGCATGGGCTTAAGGCACCAACAAATGATTGTTTGCTTAATTAATTAATTTATGTACAGTAGGCTCCATACGCAATGTGGAGCTTGAACTCACAACTCCAGATCAAGAGTCCCACATTCTACCGATAGAGCCAGCCAGGCATCCCAGTTCTGATACTTCCTAAAAGTTTGAAGTGATCAAGGGAAATTCTTAATTTTGGTGGACTTCTTATTTATTTTGAAGTTTAATATTGAAACTATATTGGGGCCGCATAACCATCTATTGTCCAGTGCCCTAATCTAGTCTCCCTGGAAGGTCCTTTGGGTCCATCCTTTCACCAGCCCCTCAGCCTCAGCCTCACCTGGGCCATTTGCCCCCCAGGCTTTTCAGGTTTCACTTAACAGCTCGCCTGCCCAAGCCCAGCTCCACTGTTGTGTGAAAGGGGAAGTCCCTTAACTTCTGCGTGCATTAGTTTTCTTGTTTGTGAAAAGAGGAGGTTGAAATGGCGTCTACCCTCTTTGTGCGAGCCTTAAAGCAATAAAGCAGAGCACGCATAGCACACGGTAAGTGCGGAGTGGTGCCTGCATTACGCTCCCTGGCATCGCACACCAGCAGTTTCCTCTGCCCATTGACCCTTCTCTCATCCCAGGCCCGTTCCTCCCAGCCTTTCGAGCTCAGTCTAGGTGTCACTTCCTCCCAGTGCAGTGTCTTAGCCATAAATGAATAAATGCAGCGAGAGAGCGTCCAGGAAGAGCAGAGTGTGCAGGAGGGGTCTGAGTCAATGGAGGGGTTTCCGTGTAGAGCCTTCTCTTGCAAGCCCTTGGGGGCCCTGACAATTAAGATGCGCAAAGGGAGCTTCCCGGACGCTCCGGAAGGGCCCCAGAGCTCCCTGGCCCAGCTGGAGACGGGTGTGCATCTCCCTTGCGCGGCTGGATCAGCTTGGGGGCTGCAGGGCGCAGATCGAGAGCCGGAGGTGACGATGCGGTTGAGGGATCATCGGGGAGCGTGGGGAGCCCGCCTGGGGCGCGGGCCAGGAGCTCGCTGGAGCCTAGATGGAAGCCCCGGAGCAAGAGACCGAGCAGTAGCCAGGGAAGGAGAAGCCGCCAACAGCGCGCGCAAGCGGACAGCTGGAGAGGCTCGGGGTGGCCAGCGAGGAACTGCGGAGGCGGCGGCTGGCAGAGGAACGCGTCCCACTCTCCCGCCGCGACTGGCACCAGCGGGGTCCCTCTACCTCTAGACCCCACTGAGGCCTTTCAGGTCCTGGAGCAATCCTCTGCGCACCAGGCGAGGCTGCCGGGTCAGTACGCTGGGGGGACCGCACTCGAGGACACGTTCCGCGGGAGCGCAAGTCCCGGATTTCCCCGTACGGGGCCGCTATCCTGGGAACCCCAGGACAAGGCCCCGCGCTCGCCCGACGGCGCCCCCAGCGGTTGGGAGAGGAGACCAGCAGGGTCGCGAAGACCCGACGGCTGGACAGGGGACCCCTCACCAGACCCGTCCATCACCAACGACGGCTCACATCTCGGGGAAGCCTGCACCCGCGACACTAACAGAGATCCACAGCCCCTTCCCGGGCGTCGGCTCCGCGGCTTTGGCCCCGCCCCGCGCCGCCATTGGTCGGGGAGGGAGAGGCGGGGCCTGACGGCGGCGCGCGGGCCCCACAGGCGGCGGAGGCGGGGCGCGCGGTACAGACGGCCGGTCCCACTGAAGAGGTGCCCGCGGGTCCGCGCCGTCCTCAGGGCCAACGGGAGCTCGCCCGTCGTCCCTGCCTCGGAAGAGGCCTCGGCAGCAGCCGACTGAGCGCACAGCGGCCACAGACAGATTGGCCGCCAGTCCCCAGTCCCCGGCCCCCGGAGGAGCGCCTACGGCGAGGCGGCGGAGGCCTGGTCGACGCCGCCGGGAGCCCAGCAGGTGCGGCGCGGGAGGCGGTCTGAGGTAGGGCCGCGGCCGCCGGCTACCCCGACCGGAGGCGCCGACCCCGAGCCTCGCCCGCCGCTCGCCGTCGGGGCGGCCCCGGCCCTCGCTCGGCCGCGGAGCGGATGCGCACCCGCTGAGCGCCCCCCCGGCCCGCTATGGCCGCGCGCCCCGGGCCGCTGTGGCTCGTGGGTCTGGCGCTATGCGCGCTGAGCGGCGGTGGCCCCGGCCCGCGCCCCCACGCTGGCTGCCCGGTCCGCCGCCTGGGCCTGCGCGAGCGCCGCGACATGCAGCGCGAGATCCTGGCTGTGCTGGGGCTGCCCGGGCGGCCCCGGCCCCGCGCGCCGCCCGCCGCCGCCCGGCTGCCCGCGTCGGCGCCGCTCTTCATGCTGGACCTGTACCACGCCATGGCCGACGACGACGACGAGGACGGCGGCCCCCCGGAGTGGCCCCCGGGCCGCGCTGACCTGGTCATGAGCTTCGTCAACATGGGTGAGTGCGGCCGCCGGCTGGGCGTCTGGGGCCCAGACGACCCTGCGGCCTCCGCGTGGACGCGCTTGTGCAGACGGGGTCGGAGACCCCTCGCGGGCTGCGCGGCAGGGGCGAGTGCACCGCCTTGGCCAGTGCGCGCCCCCGCCTCGAACAGGTGCCCCCTGGTCGTGGCCACGCCCCCAAGGAGGGGTGAGAAGTGCGGAGCTCAGGGCCAAGTCCAAGGCGGGTGGGGGCGCGAATGTGAGTACCAGGGATGTGCGCGTTCGTCCCGCCCCCGAACACACCCAAGGGTAGGAATCATCTCCTGTTGGGTGGACCGGACAGTGCCAGGAAGACAGTTTGGTTCCGGGGAGACAGATGAGTAAACAGGCCCGGATGCTGTCACAGTGATAAGGGCAGTACTGGAGAGAAGGACAAAGTTCAGTGTGGAAAGCGCCGGTCACATCATCAAAGTGACCGGAGCTGAGAACCCAGATGTCCTGAGTGCACAGCTGCCTGTTCCCTGGCCAGAGCCCCAGCTCCTGCAGGTGAGGGTGTGGCTGCCAGGGCAGCAGGCGGGAAGGAGTAGACTCTGAGCTCAGTGGGGCAATCAGTGGTCTTGTCACCCTGGGCCTAGCACCTGGGACATGGCTGGCATGCAGTGTGTGTCCAGGCCGGTGGAAGGACCCAGTAGGCCCCTTGGACCCTCCTCGTTCTTCCACACAAAGCCCAGCCTTTCCTTTCTACAGTAATTTTTCTCCAAGTCGTGGACCCATTTGTGGTTAGAGTACTCAAAGATGTCTCCCCATTACTAAATGCTCTTTAATCTGCAGTCATGAATGTCCCTTATCTGCTTTGCCTCCTGTCTGTGGCCAGTGAGGACCAGGGTTCTGGGCTGGAGCAGACACCAGACTGGACGTGGGATTGAAGGACTGCAGCTCAGGCTGAGGTGGAGACAGAACCCTTGCCAAGGCCACCAGCATCCCTTCACGTACAGCATTATGCTTACCCTCCCCACAACCCCAGGAACAGACATGATATTCTTCCCCATCTCCCAGATGAGGACAGTGAGGCTCAGAGAGGCAACGTCATGCCCAGGACAGCACAGCCTCTCCGTGGCCCAGTCAGGACAGGCCCTGGTTGTTTGGCCCTACATCAGGTCCTCAAGGAGATGATATTTCTACTGTCAGGAGGGCAGGCTTTCAAGGTGGAGAGAGCTTCCAGAGGGGTTTAGGCAGAGAAACCCAGGGGATGGAGCAGCAGCAGCAGGTTTTGTGGGGTTTTCAGCCCTTTGCTTCCTCTATAAGGGCAGGCAGAATGGACAGCCAAGGAGACCTCTGTCCACCACACCCAGAGCTGGTGGGTGGGCTGAGGTGGGGAGTGAGCAGCAGGAAGTGGCTGTTAACCTCTGCTGAGAGCCGGATGCCAGGCATAGGACTGGGTCAATGGGTTCTGAATGCCAACTTCTTGGTTAAGGGCAGGGTGGGGGACTCAGGACGAAAGAGTCCATGTGTGGAACTGAAACTAGAGCCCTTTCCTCAGGACAGGCTGACCTGGGGCCAGAACCAAGAAGGGTTGTGGATACAGTCATCCTGAGAATGTCCCTAAGGGCAACATCCATTAGAATGAGTCTCTGCCCAGCCAGTGTCCTGCTTCCCCTGCATCCCCTGGGTGAAGGCGTGCACAGCCTTGGTGGGAGCTCTTACTGTGAATCAATCAGCACCCTTAGCTCAGACAAACCTGATTTCTCTCCTGCCTCCGCTGTGTGACCTCAGGCAAGCCCCTTGCCCTCTTGGAGCCACAGATCCCTTCTTGTAAAATGGGGCTCACTGAGATCAGTGCATCGTCAGGGGTATTGTGGGATGGGTTGATAGATGGGAGGAGCAGAAAATAAGCCCTCTAGTAGGTGCCCCTGGACTGGTCCCTGCTGCCCCAGCTCCCTGCCAGCTGCTGCCCAGCCTTGGTTGGGTGTGTTGGGAATGTCCCACACTTCTTACGTGCAACCCAGAAACAGATTTTAAAAGCCAACCAAAAGGTGCCTGTACCTATTTTTAGAATAAAAACGAGCACCTGAAGAGCCTTTGTTGCACCCATCTAGTGACATGTAAGCTATTTTACCAGCCCCCTTTGCATGGGCTCAGAGAGGTTAAATGGCCAGCCCAGGGCCACACAGCTCATCCATGGCATCATCCAGGGCCTGTGGATTCCTGATGCCAGCTTCTTCCCACGCTGTCTGTGTGTGTTTCATTAAGATCTAAGGCCTCTGATGCTGTGGGATTAACAAGCAGATCTTTGTTTGGTGGAAGCCCAGTCTGTGGGCGGGCCCAGCCAGCTGTCAGAGGGCCTCTTTATTCTGATGTACTAATTGCACTAGTAGAACTCTTGCAGTGTAAGTGGTTTAACTGGTAATTACCTAGGCTGTGGGGGTGGGAGGGTTAGACACCTAGCTGGAGTCTTTGCTTCTTTGGAGGCCCAGGCCCCAGGCCCTTGAACCGCCACAGAGCCTGATGGCAGAGTCATGGCGGTATCCACGCCCACACCTGGGCACCTGTACCTGCACCTCCAGCTCCACCTCTCCTACTGGCCTCATCTGCTCCAGAAGCCAGACCCAGTGCCTGCTAGGCCCCTGACCATCCACGGCAGCCTGTGGGACCAGAGGCTTTGGGCCTGTCACAGGCCTCCGGCCCACAGGCTGGGCATCTGTGCCCAAGCAGATGCTTTAGGACACCTGTGTCATGGCTGACAGCATCTCCGGAGGGAGGCCGGGGCTGTGGTTAGAGCTGGGGCTGTACCGTCTCAGACTGTACACTCTTGGCTCCATTCAGGAGCGCCCTGAGCTGGGAGGCAACATTCACATTCTTACACTGCCTGGACCCACCACTCATTCCTTCCTGTCCTGAGTCACCTCCCTTCCCTCCCTGGGTCTCTGCTTTCTCGTCCAGTCCACAGCGATGGTGTCAGGAAGCGAGGGGCCTTCCAGCCCTGACCCATGGCCCTGTGCTGGAGACAGCTCCTCACCTCACCACCCCATGCCCTGGGCTGGAGGGTGGGTCTGACCAGCTGTACCTTAGGCACCTGGGGCCGGCCCTGCGGCTGGTGAGGAAGGAATGAGGAGGGAAGGACTGACTCTTCGTGTTCCTCCTGGTCCTTCCCCACCTTGAGTCAGAGGAGTAGCAGATGCTGAGTTCCAGGTTGAGAAACTGAGGCACAGATAGCCCTGCAGGCAGAGGTCTAGCCAGAAATGCATGGAACCGTCTTCACTGTTGTCCCAGCCCTTCTCTGAGCAGACTTACTCCTGTGCCTCGAGGACAGGGGTGTTGACCTGAGGTGTTGGATTTGGGGGCAGCAGGGATGTGGAAATGAGGAATCTGGCCCACGTCCTCCTCAGCCCTGTGACCTTGAAGGGGCAATGCTTGGTCTCCATGACCCCAGGGTCACTTTCTTTGGTTCTTTACTAGGGAATTCTTTCATTTTTTCATGAATTCACTCAACAAATAGTCGTGTGATATCTGCTGTGTGCCAGGCACAGTTCTGGTTACTGGGATGTGACAGTGAGCCTAACCAAGTCCAGCCCTCATGGAACCAGCCTTCAGAGCGGGGGATGCAAATAATAAATGCATAAGCCACAGAGATGGTTGTCAAGTGGTGTAGACAGTGACACCCCCCCCCCCAGTCTGGAAACCAGGAGCCGAGGGACAGGGGAGGGCAGACGGGACCTGGATGGGGGGTTCTGACCGTGGACTCAGACAGAATCTGCATCTCAGTGCCACCACCTGCTGTGAGTGTGGTGTGGGTCTTCTAGTCCACCTCCAGGAGCCTCAGTTTCTTCCTCTATAAAATGGAGGCACTCAGGGTACCCACCCACTGGAGCTGTTCCGGGAGCATGTGAGATGATGCCTGGTGAGGACCTCACGCCCAGAACGTCCAGGTCTGTGCCTTCATTTGCATCACAATCACAGTCACATCTATGTTTTGGAAAAGAGGAGAGTGAAGCTCAGAGAAGTTAGGTGATTTTCCCAAGGCCACCCAGCAGGTCCACTCCCTGCTCCTCTGCTCTTCTCCTGTATAGAAGCCGCCTCTCCACCCCTGTGGGGCCCTGGCCCATCATTAGGTGCATTAAGTGTGGCGGAATTGGACTGTGTGGAATGTAGGTTGTAAACTGAGATTCTTATTTTAAAAATATCTTCATTTGGGGTTTTATAGAACTAATGAATGTTCACCGTAAAAAATTCATACCATATGTATTAATTGTAGAATTTCATTATAGAAAATCAGACCATATGTTCAGAAACATAAAATATGGGGGCGCCTGGGTGGCTCAGTGGGTTAAAGCCTCTGCCTTCGGCTCAGGTCTTGATCCCAGGGTCCTGGGATCGAGCCCCTCATCGGGCTCTCTGCTCAGCAGGGAGTCTGCTTCCCTTCCTTCTCTCTGTCTGCCTGCCTACCTGTGATCTCTGTCTGTCAAATAAATAAGTAAAATCTTTAAAAAAAAGAAACAAAAAAGAAACATAAAATATGGAAGCCCTTTGCAACCCTCTCTCCACTTCAGAGAAAACCAGCATTTTAATCCTTTGCTGTAGTCTCCCCAATCAGCCCTGACATTTTATCAATACAGATATTAACATTTTATTATTTTTTATAAAATGGGACATAAATGCCTACTGTCTTGCTACTTCACCTGTCATTTAACAGTAAATCCTTTGTCCATCTTAAAAGCCGTTAATGTGGCCATGTGCCACCCAAAGGTGGCATCCCTTATTAAAAATTAACTTAGCTTTATCAATGTGTAATTGACATATAAAATTATAAGATATCCGAAGTATACTACGTGGTGACTTGTTACACAGAGGCATTGTCACAGGATTCTCTGCAGCTAGTTAATCACCACATTGGTCACCTCACAGATTTCAGTTACACACTATTGTGTCATCAGCTCTAGTCCTTATATTTTACATTAGGTCCTCAGACCTTATTCATCTTTTTTTTTAATTTTTAAATTTTTTTATGAACATATAATGTAT